AAAACATTGGGACCTCTCATGGCTTCACGACTCTTGGAGTGCCAGAGTGCTAGAGGTCCGGTCCCCACAAACCGAAAGAGCCCATGCAGGCCAAGGCAGGAAACGGGTAGCTACATGGGGGGGGACGGGAGGGCGGGGGGGGGGGGGGGGGCGCTTTACATGTATGTATATGTGTATACATAGATGTAACTATCTGTTTGTTTATGTATGTATACATACATTCACCTTGCAAAAAGTATGCTGGCATGCATGCGTGTATGTAGGTATGCAGGCACGTGGGTATGCATGTAAGTAAGTCCGTAAGCATGGACGCATGCATGTATATCTGCATGTATGCACATCCGCACGTCCGCATGTAGGCAGGTAGGCATGTAGGCTTGTAATGTTTGTGCGCATATATGAAAGTTTGCATGCATGCACTGATGCACGTATGCATGGACACAAATGTACATGCACAGTGCAGTGCCAGAGTCGTGCAAGGCTGGAAGTTCCAGCATGTTGACAAAGCGAAGGACAATGGCAGTAACCCGCCGTTGAACCGACACACAAACGACAAGGAACGCAGAACAGCAGTGCTCATCAACGACCACCATTCCTTATGACGAGGCTAGTTGGGGTTGCATGCTAGTATAGGGGTGGGCAACACAAACCAAAAATGCACCCCAAAAGCCCTAAACATCATAGACCCCTTTAGTGAGCCTTGGTAGGAACCTTAAAGAAACCCTGTAAAAGTCCTTACGTTTACGGATGGTTTGGAAAGCCTAGGGCTTAGAGTTAAGAACAAAGAAATCAAAACTAACCACCACTAATTATCCCTTGTGGTCATGATTAGCTGGTGGGGGCCCCAGCTAAGTCCGCATAAGGTCCCAGCGGTGTTAAGATAAACGAAGACGTTGAAGGCAATGGAGAAGGCCGCGAAAACCTACAAGTTCAGGGTCGAGCCGTGGGTGTTAAGGGTGGTGGGGTTTGAGATGTTATGCTTTCCGATGCTTGGGTTTTGAAGCTATGATTGCTTCCCAAACGTTCCGACTTTTTTTTATCCCGTCTATAGCGCAACGTTTTGTGGGCTTGGCGGCCTGCGTTCCCAGACTGGAGGTTTCAAGAGTTTCTAGCTTGCAGCAGCAAACGCCCAAAGCCTGCAGGAGTCACTATCTAGACCCCATAGATCCCATAGACCCTAAACCCAGAAATAACCTTCTAGACCCCATCGACCCCGAAGTAGACATGCTGTTGGTGTATTTCGGGGCTTCAGAACCCATTCGGCACCCGGGATCCCCAACCCCAATGAAAATCTCTGGGGCACATAACAGGCTAAAGCTTGCAGGGTCTGGAGATTTCGGGGGTTTGGCGTTCGGGTTTCGTTGTGTTGCGCTCCAACCTCCTCTGTTATAGATGATGATATCTGTATGACTGTATGCTTGGAAAGCTGTTTAACAAAACCCTTGAGTTTATTCCCGCTTCACTACAACCCGAAATCCATGCGCTCACTTCGGTACCTGTGGAAGTTGCTGGTCATGTAGGGGCATTTAATTAATTAGTTAAACTGGGTTTCGGGGTCCTCTGTAGTATAGATATCATAAAGAACCCGAAGGAAAGAGTGTTGGTATTCATTTGAATTTAGGCTTCTGTAATTTTTTCAGCTTCTTTCGTTCTTCTGCTCGGAGCTGGGAGGTTACAGGGAAGGACCTGAGGTTACCTATAATAGCATCCACTGTAGCTCCTTTTCAGGGGTTGCCTTACAGGGTCCTAACTATAGATTTGGCTTAACCAAAAAACCGAACAAAGAACTACAATGGAGATTATAGGCAGTCTAAAGACGAAGACCAAGAGAGCCGTGAAGAGCGCTTCATTTGGCTGCCACAGAAAGTACAGCAACCGATGAAATGCGACGACAGTGAATTATGGTAGTGATCCGATGCTGGTTCTCGTCCTGCTCCGGCCACTATACTGCAACTACATGGGGGGCGGCACTGGAAACCATAAGCTGTCGCCCTGTTATGCGGAAAACTGGATGCATCGGGCCCTGCTGCGGCTGGGTGCTTTGCCCCTTGCTCGCTTCAGGCTTGGAATCACTCATGGGGACGCAGGGCACGCATGTAAGCTGCATTTAGCAGGCTTCATTCCGAAGACGACGTACAAGCTCCGTCCATCTCTCTCTCTCTTTCTCTCTCTCTCTCTCTCTCTCTCTCTCTCGCTCTCTCTCTGATAAATGTTGCTCACAGTAGACACTGACGAAGAACCTCCCCGTCCTGTTGGGTCGTAGATTGTTTTATCCCCATGATTGTTCTTATTGTGGGGTGGCAAAGGCTTAAATTGCAGGAAGGGTCTGTTCCTCGAACTGCTGTGGCACGTAAGGATTCCGGTCACGCCAAGAAAATTTGCTTCCAACAAGAGCGATGCCGTGCCAATTGGCCGGACCGTCGCTATTCATTCAAACCCTGCAAGTATTTCAACAGGCGATCGTGCCCGGGGCGAGACATGCAGCGGATTGCAGATCCAGGATTCCCGCTGGTTTTCTAGGGCTCACTGCTGCTGCCAGCTGCATATGCGGCTCATAAGAGAAAAGCTTTTTTAGGAGGTTATCGCGATAAGGGCTACTTTGGGGCTACAGACTTGAAAGGCAGCTTAGGGGTTCAGGGCTTGCAGGGCTCTCGGGAGCGTCTATAGTGTAGCTTTAGGATGTAGCAGGTGAAGCTTAGGAGGGCCGAGGGGGTTTGGCCCAGTGCTGGCTTGAGGAATCGGAACAAAAAGCTCAGATCCCTTCCACGATGTGGGCTGTGTAAAACAGGGCACCTCCACATGCGGACAAAGTCAAGTTGTCGCATTCAATCAATCGCACTGAAGTGCACCGGGATCAAACTCGCCAGCATCTCATCCAAACTACTGCAGCAAAGACTAGACCCACGATATTCCACAGAATGGACATCTCTACGCCGCGGAAAACGGCGGCAATTGTGGCACTGATCCCAACCGCCAGAAGAAGGATACACAGAACACAGATCAGGAGTGGCTCCAAAAGGGAAGGTGTGATTCTGCATCTGCCCAGTCGGATTCCCTGCTGGGTGAGGTAAGCCCCTAATACGACGACAGATGGAAGCCAGATCAGGTTCAAGCACAACACCACAGCAAGGAAGTAGCTTATCGATATTTCAGCAGGCACCTCGGACATCCAGAAAGCCAAAAAGCCTTCCAGAAAGTAACCGGTATTCGGCAGCAACAAGAAGATGAGGTAGTGGCCTTCAATGCAGCGTTGGCTACGTCTGAGCTGAAGTACTTCAAGGCAGAAAGGCCCTCGTATGTAATCGTTGAAAGCATCCAGGCTGCCGTACCACGTTTTGATGAGATCATGGATGCACTGTCTATCAAACTCGTTGCTGCATTTCGCATTCATCACATCGAAGTTTGTCAGCTGGCTCCTCAACTTTTCGTCGGCATCTTGCTTCTGCACTGCCGCAAGCGCCATTGCGGCAAGGACTGGCCAACCCACACAGACGACCACCAGCAGCAACCGCCAGAGCTCGCCACCGTGCGGGCCCTCTCGCGCAAGCCAGAATCCCACAGTGCCCAATTGCGCCCAAATGAACGCCAGAAGAACAGCAACCTCCGTCATGATCCGTGATATCACTATCCTTCCATTTGGGTTCAGCTTGCGATATGCGGCCAGTTCGAAAACACACCACAACCTCTGCAGGTAAGGCGCGCTCCAAAGCACGCGCAATTCCGAAGCAGACGCAAGGAATGCTCCGATAGACCTGATGCCCTGCTGCATCTTCCTGCTGTCTGTCTGGTGAACACAGACGAAATCTAAGAAAACGATGTCGGAAGCGATGTGTGGAACGTATGGGAAGACAACAAGCCCTACAATGGCCCCAGTAAAGGACAGCAGCATCACCCAGCAACCTCGGCGGTCCAAGTCTTTGGGAGCTCGGAGCAAGTGTTCGTTGCTTTCACAGGAGACCGATGACACCTAGCTAGCAAACAGGAAACGCTAATATGTATACATATATACATATTATACATTACATTGTATTATAGTACATTATATTATAGTTTAGAGTATATTCCATTCCATTCCCAATGCCCAGCAACCATATGGGATGGAAGTGCCATGTGCGCAGTGTATGCCAGGCCATATAGCTTTAAGCGGCACCTCAAACACAGTGAAGAGTGGTAGCACCTCGAGTACGACAAGAACGGAACCAATCATTGCCCCGATGGCCCAAAAGATCATCATGCTAGGCCAGCCGAAACCCAGAAGAAGAGACAGGAGTTTCCATCTGCCGAAGGTTTCCCACGTGTGCGATAGAAACTTGTCGTATCTTTTCGTGGGCTTGGAAGCATCCCACAGCTTGGCCTTCTTGCAAGCACTCATGGATCGTGGATCAGAAAGCCAAAGATGGGCTCCCCACTGCAGCGTCTGCCGTAGCGGAATCCCTCGCATCAGCGTTGCATCCAAATCATCGAAGCTTGTTACAAAGCTTGCTAGGTCGGGTGTAGTAGCTAAGGACCTTGTAGGACTATCAGTCTTCTCGCCGTCGGTCTCGATAAGACCCGCTACCTGGGCCTGGAGTGACGGCTGAACAGCTTTATCACCTTCAGGGAACTTCGTGAACGAGGAGGATGTGCATCGAGCATCGTAGGTGCTCTCTTCATCTCCACCTCGCACCCTCTGATCGCTCTGCAACATCTGAGGATCAGGCGGCTGAAGGTGAGAAGGGCCCGGAACCCCGAAGCCTACGATGCAGGTTCGAATTCTTCGGCCGATTGCCTTAGGCAAGCTTGAGCCTCCACCACAGGCACTCTCTGCCATCAAGCCTCTCATACCGCCGCTGCCTTCAGTCTGCGAGGATCAGAAGCGGTTTGGGTTTCGGGCTTGGGGTCTAGTCAAAAGCACTATACTATAGCCAACATGTTCAACTGTTGGTCCCCATAAGAGCGAGTTTCCAAGGTGAGCCCAAACCTTGACGGACATGTAGAGGTCTGGCGAGATCTCCTGCGGGCCGGGCAGCAATGCATCCTTTGAGATTGAGCTTTGTAGGTTTAAGGCTGCGGCTCTACGGTCTCAGTACTGACTAGCCGGAGTTCTTAGGCACCCCATATGACAGTATACTATATGGTATAGTCTAGCACGTTCCAGTCTAGCTCTTTGACATCATCTAGAGATGAGTAAACGTTTACAAGAACTGGAAGATGATTTGGTCATGAAAGCAAGCTGCATGAATCAGGTGCACACGGACAGGCCGTCATCGCAAGAAACAAGAAATTCTGTGAACCTTAAACTACAGTAAGGCTTCGGCACTCACTCGGACTCTCCGGGCGAGGGATGAGTCCACTAGGCCTGTTCCAGTGGGTTTTGGCGTTACTGTAAGGTCACCCAATGCGCAGACTCACAACAACAAAAAAACCTGCTCCGAAAACAAAGTCCTGGCAGTTGCGTGAGGTGAGCACCCAGTGCAGTCCCAAGCAGTGCCTGCGTGGGGACTCTCCGGTTTAAGGCTGGGCAGGATCACGTCTCCGTGAAAACGGCTCAAGGATATAATGGCTGCAATGTACGGTGACTAACTAATCAATCCCTCGGAGATGGATTGTCAGAATACGATCTGGTTAAATGTTAATGTGGCGGCGTATTTAACGGGGAGGGACCCCCCCTCCCCCCACTAAAAGTTTGCGGCTTGACACCAATCGACCAAGTCTGAGGCCTGGTGCTGTCCGGTCGTACGGTCGTAGTACAGTAGAAGTACAGTCGTACAGCAACAGTACAGGATTACTACAGTAGTAGTACAGTAGTACTACGGTAGTATTAGTACAATAGTATTAGTACGGTCGTACAGTGATAGTACAGTAGTCAGGTTTAAGGTTTAGGCAGAGCTTCGGGCTTCAGGGCCGGGGTTTTAGGGTTTGGATGGGGTTTTAGGCTTTAGGGTTGAGGAGGGTCTAGACCATTAGCAGAAAGGAAGCAACAGAACCCAAACTCAGCGGGCCCAAAAGAAAAGCATGAATCAGGCCGGGCAATTTTTGTACCGGAGTGAATAAGCCCGGCCCAAACCGCAATGTAGACCCCCACCGGTTTAAATACGCTGCCGCATTACATGATTATTGTTTTCGTGGCTGCGGCTAGCCCGCAGACTCCAAAACGATACTTTTGACAATGTAGGAGGGCCTTTGGTGAGATGTAAAGCAGGATGTTAGGCATGCACATGTTCCCTTTGCTAAGTCATGAATCTCAGCCTATAATTATTCCTCTGTGGAGTATCCGCAGTCCCTATAATACCGAAAACTGAGGCACCGTACGTACTACAACTAGCAAGTGTGCAACGTGGCTATTGCACCATGAAACACCCTTTTACCGTCAATTGCTGCTAGTTAGGGTCTTTTTTCGGGTTTCCGGTGATTACAACTCTATGATGAAGACTACTGTTGCAATGGCGACTGAAATACCCTGATTTGGTTACAACCCTGCTTATGGCCTACTCGGTAAGGGAGCACACGGAAGACCCAAATCCGTAAAATGTATACTCCGAAATTCTATCCACAAACCCCAGGCACCAACCCCAAGTCAGTCCTAAACCCGGGCCGCGGATCCGTTTCTCCGCCACTCAGGTCAGTCCATCGAGTCCAAGCTCAGAGGTATTGCCTGTCCAGGGCCCAGGTATGCGCTTCAGGATTTCGGGCGTAGGACCAGACCTGCAGTGAAAGTCAATCGAGCAAACCGATCTGTTTCTATAGAAGCCTTCCTTATTGTAACCTTGGCCGGCCTTGGCTCTGCTTGGGTAGTATTGTGGTTCGGGTGGTTGGTTGTGCGGTGGTGCTGGGGGTGGGGTGGTGTGCGATGGGGTATGGACGCAGACTGTCAAGGCAAAAGCTGTAGAATGTCTCGGCAAGACCATTCTGGCAAGGCCAAATCACTGAGTGTTCTGGTGTTATTTATGGGTGGGTTCTTTATACAGACAAGAACCTTAATGCCAGGGGCGATATGAAACTGTGTGCTGTGACAAGAATTCGAAGAGCCCCTATGATCTGCTCCCCGCCAGGGGAACAAAACTGCTACACCAAAACGCCTTGACCTGGAAGCACCCCTTGTGCAACTGGCTTGCACCCTAAACCCTAAACCCTGGGGCACCCAGAGCTTCCCTCATCCTGTCTCCCTGTACGTGGCTGTAGCGAGACCCTCCACCCTAAACCCCAAAAGCAGCTAGCATAAAAAAGGGCTCCAGCTAGAGATAGGGGCATCCGAGTTGCAGTGAAAAGTAGGAGCGGAACACGGAACACAAGGAAAGGATCTTACCTTGGGGATGAAGCAGATCCCTCGACCCCGTCGAACCTGAACCCCTTTCATGATGATTCTTGCAACGATGACGAGTACTAACGAGTACTGACAAATCACAGCACCAGTTGCTACAGTCATGAACAAGGACAATCGTACGAGCAGTCATCCGCAAAATAACTATTAAAAAACACTAAACCCTGAACCCTAAANNCTAAACCCGAAACCCTAAACCTTGTAAACTTCTTCTTCTACTTTTCAACCGTCCTGGGCCGAGCCTTCGGCTTTCCAATAACAGGCTCCTGCTGAAGGATCGGCCGAAGGCCCCTGGTTTCGAAAGACTCTCTGGCTTGGCCCCGGTCCGGGTCTTGGGGTTTTCGGGTTTCGGGTTTGGGCTTCGGGTTTTCTGGTTTTCTGTAAGGGAGTAGGGGCTTTTCAAAGTCTGGCCCGTTTCAGGGTTCGCATCATGGCATTCATTATTGAAGAAGCATACCTGCAAAGACACCCCGAGTGTTGGGATATCAGGGCTCTGGACTCTGAAACCCCCTGGGGCGGATTTCGAAGATAGGTAAGCCCCAATGCCCGCCAGTTCCGGCAGGATTCGATGGTCAGACCACCTGTATCCTCACGAACCACACCTGCAGTCAGTCATGTAGATACATCAACCAAGCCGAAATGAGATCAACTCTGTAAGTTCTCCATCCGGCTGAGACTAGTCGGATTGCAATCATACGGTCAGAACTATCCTGCAAAGCAATGCGGCTAGGAAGCACAGTGCGCGCACGACCAAGCCTGTAAGGTCCAAACTCGTCGCAGAAGAACTCTTGAGGCTTGATAGCGGGGTCTTCACAACTAGAATAGGGCTTCGGAACTTGCCTTACATAGGGTTTCTCAGATAGTTGTTATATGAGGGAACCCTAACCCTGCGGCATTGTCGTCGTGACTGCCCCGAGCAAGGCTCCTAAGTTTCCGAAGGCTAAGACTTATTTAGAATAAGGGTTTAGGGTATAGGGTTTACTTAGTATTCTGTTCATAAAAATCAATAAGCTCGAATTCCAATGATGTTAAAAAACCCATTCAACAAGAATTATTAAGAATAAGATATCGGAAGGTATATCGGCGAGTTCTAAATCATGCTTAGACAAAAATTATGTTATAAATATTATTATATTATTATTCATTCCATTTATGTTTAGAAATACTAATATCTTACCATATACATATTATATATATATATATTCAGCCCTAAAGCTTTAAACAATTTAAACCCAAAGCCCTACTAACCACCATTAATTCAGACCCGAAGGTCTTCAATCCGACACCCCAAACCCTACTAAACCCCAAAAAATCAAGCATTCGAACCCTGAGGTCTCGAGCCCTCAAAGCCCAAGTTAACCCCAAAATCAATACAGTTCACTTACAGGGCTGAAAGTCTCAACAACTACACTATGCTATACAACATCTATACTGCAACTACGAAGCCGCGGCTGCCAAAATCCTGAAGTCATGGCCTCAGCGAAGTCACGAGTTCTGGATTCAGGAGCTGGAAGATCGCCTCCTCGGCTCCGTAAACCGCCCTGGCGAGAGTTCAGAGGCTTGAGGCTTAAGGCGCTTTATAGGGGTTTTGCTGTAAAGTTTACAGGGCTTAAAGGGTTTAGGGTTTAGGGTACTGTCGGGTTTATAGGGCTTAAAGGGTTTCAGCACTCACACTCGGACGAGCCTAGGCGAGGATGTCTGGTACGGCTTAAAGGGTTTAGGGTTTAGGGTACTTTAGGGTTTATAGGGCTTAAAGGGTAAAGGCTCAGGCTAAGCAAGTAAACAACACAAGTCTAGCGTCAGGGAGGTGTGCGGGGATTAGACCCCTCAGTGAGCATGCCTTCTTAGATGTCTATCTCTGCTCAAGCACTGGCTGGGCTTGCCTTTGAAGTCTTACAACGTTCATTCGGGGGTTTGTGTTCGAGGGTTCAGGAGAAGGGAGAGTCGGAAAAAAGTCAGAAGCAGCTTTCACGAGGCAGGGGCTGAAAACTAGCTCACCGGCCTGCAGCCTCATTCCCGCAGCCAGAACCAGACCAGAAAAACATAAACCCACCAGCACCTCTTTTCAGATTTCCTTCCCTGCTTTCGTCTGTCTACTTCTGTGCCAGCACACCAAAGAGCACCCCTAGTCCCACACCGAAGATCGATATGAGCACCCTGTGTTCAAGTGGAAACGGGTAGAAAAAGAAGGCAGCCCCAAGTTCACCAGCTTGTCCCTAATAAGCCCCTAAACTCCTAAGCCCTAAACGCTAAATCCTAAAATTAATTAAGACGGATCTCTACTCCTACCCCCGAAGCCTCATCTTAGGACCCTCCCTGGCGACCTGAAGTGGTGCCGGGCAGCCGACTGGCGCGCAAAGGGCAAAGGGCCGTGTGCTTCTTTCGGGGATCCCTTAAGCGTCATTTAAGGGATCGTTTAAGGGTTCCTTTTAGGGATCCCTTAAGGGATCCCTTAAAGGACGATGTTGTTTCGGATGGTCTGCCAAACCCTAAACCCTTTCAGGCATCCAGGCCGATTGCGA